TGGGAAAGTCTGCGGTTAGAGACCTCTCTAAAAGATTGAAGTGCAATGATGTCAGTCTGGAGACTAAGGTCCCCCTGACACATGCCATGGTCTTTGCAATCACTTGCTATGCATCAGAAAGCTGGACAATTAGTAGGGATATTATTAGTAGGAGAATTAGTAGGTATATTAGTAGGAGAATTGATGCCTTTGAGCTGTGGTGTTGGAGAAGAGTATTGAACATATCATGGACTGCTAAGAAAACAAACAGGTTTGTCCTGAAGAGGGTGAAGCTGGGCTGCTCCTTGGAGGCAAGGATTCTGAAGCTTCGTCTGACATACTTTGGGCATGTTGCAAGGAGGGACCAGTCCTTGGAGAGGGATGTCTTGCTTGGGAGGGTGGAGGGACAGCACAGGAGAGGAAGACCCTTAATGAGGTGACTGGGGTAATGGGGATAGGTGTGTCGGAGATGGTGAGATTGGCACAGGATAGGACAGAGTTTAGGGCTGTTGTACATAGGGTAGCTATAAGTTGCAGGCGATTTGAGGCACATAACAATAATAACAACAACAACAACATATGAAAGTCAGTAGAGTTATTATATTTTGGAGGTACATTCTAAGTGGTACAACACTGGTCTGTCAGTTTGCTGTACTGAGATAACCTCGGGTTGCTGTGATGCTGAACCCTGGGCACTGATGTGTCAAATGTCATAATAGTTACCCATGGTGGACAGGGTTTGGTGGAGCTCCCAGATTAAGACAGGTTTGGAAGCAGGAGTGGCATCCACTTCTTAAAAAAACATGCCTCTGGAAACTATGAACTTAGAAAAATGATGATAGTTATAGAGCTGGGTTCAGGTCTTTTGTTCATAGGGTCACTATGAATCGTGCTTGACTCAACAGCAATCATCAACAACAACATAAAGGTCACTATTAATTGGATCCAACTTGATGGCACCAAATAAGAGCAACAGCATAGGCCATATCTTTTTTTCAAGGAAATGAGAACTCCTGCTCGTTCTTTTGTTCTTTAAAAATGGTTTGAACAGATCACATCTAACCCATGCTTGACCCTCCTTGAAGAAATAGTTTGACATTTTAAAAAAACTATCACCAAAAAAGCAAATAAAAAAGAGAAAGGCCTTGTGAGCCCCTGACTTCCATGTGGATCATATAGTCCAGTTAAAAGAGCTTAATATTTAGTATCTGTCTGAAGCCAGGGTTGCTTTCACTGTCAGTTGCCTTTGCAGAGATACTCTGCTCAGCTTTCTGGTTCTTACCACAGTGTATTCTTTATTACCTCAATTGTTCAGTTAGAAGGAACTCTGTTGACCTAGTAGTAAGGAGTTGCACTGCCAACTGAAAGGCAATTGGTTCAAGGCCGTAATTTGCTCCTTGGGAGAAAGATGAGTGATCTCCTCCCATGTGATTTACAGCCTCTGAAAACCTGCTAGAGGGCCAGTTACACGTCGGTTCCGAATTGACAGAACTGAGTTGAGTATGTTGATCATCTTTCCTCACCAGTGAGATTAACTGCCACACTGCTGAAATCTCTACTCACTTCCCCACGCTCATTCTGGTATAGGGTAAGTCTTTAATACGTGTTTGTTGACAGTGACCACAGTGACATCATTTCTTGGCCACAATTACTGCTCAGTTTAACCAGCAGGGATTGGTTGTGTGCTTCCACTCTACTAAAGACAAAGACAATTCTATGTGGCTGGCACACAGTTGACTAAATGTTAATCTTAACAGCCTGAGCCATAGGTGAAGAGAAAGAAGATGCTTCAATTTTCTGGCCATGGAAGAGAAGAGGATGGGAGCTGAAAGGATAGCTTCCCAGAAGACATAAAGGAGGGACTGAAGGATGTGTGGAACATTTGCATAGAGGTGATGTGGGAACCCCTGGCAGAGGAAACAGCATTGACAAATGCTGGAAGGTACCAGATGGGGTTGGGGAAGGGGCAGGCTGAAAGGAGAGGATTCTGGGTGGGGAAAGATGAGACAAAAAAGAATGGATAGGGGGAATGACCCTTACGGAAGCCACACTGATCCCCTCTCCCCTACTCCTGAGGGAATTTCCCACAGTATTGCAGGAAATCACATCAACTCACCCCATTCAGCAGACCGCTGCAGAGGTTGAGAAACGAAAGGAGAAGAGTTCTCACTGCAGGAAGTAAGAAAGATCGACCCTTCATCTCTGTGTGCATGAAAGGCTATCCTAGAAGCTGTTTTCTCCAAACCACCAAATCACACAGTCCTGACCTCTCTGGCTGAACAAGTGCTTCTGATTAGATGCCTGATGATGTGCTCAGGCTCCTGAGATAGCAGTTCCTTACTGATAATGATGTTCAAACCTCAACCTCTGGCCTCTCTTCTTGTGTCTAACACCTTCCACTTCAGGAATACGTGGCTGTACCAGAGATGACTGACCTATTTTACTTTTAGGGTAGATTTTCTTTGTAAGTTTGTATACAGGAGACCAGTGTGATTAATGAGGCTAGGAGTGTTTGAGAAAAAGATGACAGCTCTCCATTAACAAGGGAGGAATCACCGAAGACATCTACTGCAAAGATGTCAATCTTCTCCAGCTACCAGCTCTGATGGCCAATTCAGAAGCAAGCAGATTGACTTGTGTTTTTTGAGAAAAGCTACTGGATATGGTCTGGTATTGCTCTGATTTGAGCTTCACAAGGAATTGTCACCATTAAGCTTTACTAAGGAGCCCCAGTACAGTTAAAGATCCAGCTGTTAACCAAAAGGCTTGCAGTTCAGATCAGCTTCTATAGAGATTACAACAAAGAGCCCTATCCTGTCTACCACAAAGGGTTGCTAGGAGTGTGAACTGACTAGATGGCATCACACAATATATGACTTGCAGAGATGTGTATTGTATTTTCTCAAGTCAACTAATTGTTTTCTATCCAAGTCCCACATCAGAAAATCTTAAAAGTTTCTATTTAGTATTATGACTTGCTACAAATGATTACTGAATAGGGATATACGATAAAATGCAAAGCTATATCTATGTGCTAAATTTCTATGACTGAGAATCATGAAAATGCTTCCTTTAGTAATAGGGCCAAGAGAGAAGTAAGGTGCTTCTCTTCGGACTTATAGAAACTGGATGCTAGCATAAAACAATTTTTCATGTTTTCTGTGTTTATGATTAATATTTACCTAAAGCACAAGAGGGGTAAGTGCAGAGTGAAAAGTAATCTTTCTCTTTTTTCTAACTCCACCCACTCAGTTCCTTTCCCCACAATCCAGTCCCACAGTTTTGCACCTTGAATTTTTCTTTAACTTAACCAAATACCTTACTGGTGGCTTGTTATCAATTCACAAAGAGCTAACTGATTTGGTACAATTTACAAGACCATGGTGAAAAATGTTTCCTGCAAGCATCTTAACAATTCTAGGAGGTAGGTATTACCATTATTTCTATTTTTTCCAGAAGAAGAAACAGGCACAATTATCAGAAATTTGCCCAAGATCACACAGCCAGTGACTGCTTATGTGAACTGACATTGTTAAATCAAATTTATTGATGCTTAGACTCTCAACCATGATTATTACAGCCTTTTCCTTTGTTGGCTTTTAAATATAGAACATAAACATTTTTACTATAATCTTTCATAAGTAGTTATTTTTTTAAAATTGTTGTAGTAAGTAAATTTTTTCTTCTACTCTGACTTCTAACTGGTTATGATTAGAATATGTAAGAGTCATAAATTCTTTTGTGTAATACTGGACATAGACTTTTTTTTTACTACTTCTAAGAGTTTTCTGTTAACAGTGTTCGGTTTTCTGAAAAATAATACAAACAATATTTATTTTCACCTCCTCTTTTCTAATGTGCATGCATTTTTTTTAAATATTTAATGTCAAATCACAGGGGTGATAAAAAACATCCCAGCTTCTTCCCTGAGTTTAAATGAGATTGAAAATGGAAATATTAGGATACTGTTCACACTGAAGGTCTAAAGACATTAGACACACACACACATACACACACCCCCAAATGCTATTTAAAATCTATAGCCACTGGGTCAATTTCAACTTGTGGTGACTCTACAGGACAGAGGGGATCTGCGCTACAGAGTTCCAAGGATGCGAATCTCTTTAGAAGCAATAAGCCAGGACATGAAATCACTCTTACAAATCAGCTAGTGTATTCAACCAAAACTATTCTAGTTCGCAGTCCAATGATTAATCTACTATTTCTTTAAGGCTCCCCCCAAATTACTTAAGTAGCACTAAACGGATTTTTAAAAAATTTCTAATGGGGGGATTACTTTTTTCAAATTTCTTTTTAAATTAATTTTAATAAACATTTACAGAGATTTTGGATTTCCATTCATTGCTGCACTTTTCTCCCTGCCCACCCCTCCCCACCAGTTCACTCCCCTCTCCAAAAAGAAAAGAAAGAAAAAAATTCCTTCATTGGTATACAGTTCCCCCATCCCTTCCCCCTAGCCCCCAACCCAAGTACACTTCTCTATGCAACCTTAATTCTGGATTCCTGTGCTAACCATAATACTTAATAATATATCTGTTCTTTCCCTCATCTGTTTCAATGCAGTATGCATAATTTATCCAGTTTTTTCTCAGTCTTAGGGGGAGTTACTTTTATAGTGACATTTTCTTTAGGGTCTCATTAGGATAAAGAATTATACCATTAAAAGGTGTTCCCTGATATCCAAATAAAGGGTTTCTTATTTGACAGGTTAAACATGTTATATTTTCTATTATAAAAGGTTCCTTACAGAAAATTTGGAATCTGGAAAAGATTAGAGATCCTTCGAGGCCACCAGCTGCTCCATGGGACAAGGGGCAGTCTCTTCCCGTGTGATTAATTGCTTCTAAAAACCTGCCAGGGGGCCAGCTCTGAGTTGATTCCAACTCCACGGTACACAACAGCAACAAATGAATTAACGGCTGAGCCCAGCAGGTGTGATCTGATGTCCACACCTGGCATTGTCTCCCTGCCTCTCCATCCACAGCAGCGATGGCACCTACCTGGGTCCCCTGAGCTGTTGCTGTTCCTCTCGCTCTCCCCGTCTTCCTGTCCATCTGCATTCTGCTGTGTGTGCTGCAGGCTCAGCTTATGGCACACCTCAAAGGCCTGCCCCACGGTGCGCACGATTCTCATAGCTTGGCTCTGGGAAGGAGAAAGAAAGAGACGGGATGAGGACCATGTAGACTCTGCAGAGACCGAATAATCAAGGTGGCGGGGATGTGCAAGGGGCACGTTAGACAGAAAGCAAAAACGTCAACAAAGGCAAGATATAGCAAGACCTAAAACCGTTCTTGTGTGCCACATTCACAAAAAGTATGATGCCACTTTCCCTTTCTGAAATACTCTGGAAAATAGAAACTCTCACCACATTTCTGAGACAATCAGTTAACTGAAAGGACAGAACGCAAACATACCAATTGAGACTTGGGCTCAATTCCTCCATTCAAATGCAACAAAAATAGTGGGTATGCTTCAAAATTCTTTGCCAACCATTATAAAATGTTCCTCTGGCTTGTCAAATGAAAAGGAACTCAGTTATTTGTCTAGAAATTTTTTTCCTGTATCTAAGTTTGGATTTATCTGGAGCTTTGGTGACATGGGCTTGAAAGCCTGGCCTTAGAAGCATAGCCAGTGGAAGCCTGGTGTCCAGGTCTCCGGGAACACCACTGGCAGCCAACCAGATCCAGGGAGTGCCTTTCCCAGACTCAGTCTAATGGCTGAGTTCACTTAGGGCTGCTCTGCAGCTACTCCTTCTTTTGCTCTTTAACCAATTTACAGCCCCAAAGGAGAGCTTGGTTCTCTACAGTTGTCACCATGCCAATTCTAAACCCTAGTGACCCAGTGTGCATCAGCTGTCCTGCCAGGTTTCCAGTGACTGATTTCCCTCAAGGAGATCACAAGTCTTTCTTCTGAGGTGCCTGTGAACGGGCCAGAACCTGCAACCTTTTAGTTAGTAGCTGGGTCAGATTTGGTAGAATACAAAGGTGGACCAAGGGAAAGTCTTCCCTAGGTGGTTGTTGTTGTTATTAAGTGCCATTGAGTTGCTTACGACTCATAGCGGCCCTATGCACAAGAGCCCTAAACACCGTTCTATCCTGTGCCAACCTCGCCATCTCAAACACAATCATTTCCATCACTTCACTCACAGAATCATTCCATCTCATCGAGGGTCTTCCTCTCCTTTGCCGCTCCTCCACTCTGCCAAGCATGATGTCCCTCTCCAAGGACCAGTCCCTCCTTGCAACATACCCAAAGTATGTCAGACGAAGCTTTAGAATCCTTGACTCCAAGGAGCATTCCGGCTTCACCCTCCCCAGGACAAGCCTGTTTGTTCTCCTAGCAGTCCATGGTATATTCAAAACTCTTCTCTAACATCACAGCTCAAAGGCATCACTTCTCTTTCTATCATCCCTATTCACTGTCCAACTCTCTGATGCATAGCACATAATTGCAAAGATTATAGCCTGGATCAGGCGCACCTTAGTCTTCAGCCTGACATTGTTGCTCTTCAGTACTCTTGAGAGGTCCCTCACAGCTGACTTTCCCAATGCAATTCATCTCTTGATTTCCTGGCTGCTGTTTCTAAGAGTGTTGACTGTGGAGCCAAGTAAGCCAAAACTGTTAACTATCTCAATCTCTTCCATACTGATGCTGCCAATTGGGAGCCAATTTAAATGCTTCCACACATGTGACAGTTTAACATCTTATATCTCCTATTATAAAGCAGTGTATGTTTCTGAAATACAATTTGGAATCTGGAAAAGACTAGAGAAAACAGAAAGCTTTTTAAGTGGATTAAGTGCGTAGGTCCAGCAAGACTGACCTAGCCTGGGACCTCAGCAGAGGTCTGTGATTAGCAGAGGAGGAGAGATGACCGAGAAGCTCTGTTCCCGTATAGATTCTAAATCAGCATAAGTAAATAGTAAGGATTTTTTTTCAGAGCATGGATTTTTTTTCAGAGCATGGTCTCAACAAACTATAACTTGATGCTCATCTAGCTTTCATTTTTCAGGGATGGAAAATGGATTCGATGTAAAATCCAGGGATGTGTCGGAGGAGAGGCTGAGAAAGTCTAGGATGTTGCTTCTTCTATCCCGGGGCTCCTAAAAATCCCTCCACGGGCCTCAGCTGGTGCTGCCACCCTGTACCTGAGTCTAAAATTAATGACATTTGGGATGATCCGACTTCAAGTCAGCTGTGACCCCTAAGTGACACCGTAAGTCCACCCATTACATTCAAAATCCCCACAGTAACATCAGTAGCCACGCAGAGCTTCTCATCAGCACAAGATAGCGGATTTTACAATACTGAACTAATACAATTACAGACAAAGGTAAAAAGAATCCAGTGTTTTATTAAGCCCATAAGGTCTTGTTGAGAACAGATGGATGATTCACCTATTCTTTGTATAATATTGAATGTAGCTCATATTTCCCCATTATTATCCTCATAAATCCCACCTCAACAGGCTTCAGAACCTCATAATGGAACTACTGCTCTAATGTATTCTCTGCTAGATAGAACTTCTACAATTGTTTCTCTTGTTACTTGTCACTTCTATTTTCCTGCCTTTTATTTCATTTAAGAGCAGCTATGTTACTCCCAAGAGGTATCTTAGACAATCCTCATCCACAGGCCTATTTCAGACCTCCCTACTTTTAACTCCTATTAACTCCTTAACTCCAAATACCTCCCAAAAGCGATTTCTTACAGCTTGAAGCTCTCTTAACCCATTATGCTAACTCCAGAGATGTTTTTGACTTAACTATCTCTCATCTTGAACATGCTGACATTTCTAAGTGGTGAGAACATCCAGGCAAATGAAGTAGGGAGGATTGGGTAACTTACTTGGGGTCACCCATCACACAGAGGTGGGTGGGAAACTAGAACCTTCCTTCCTGTCCTCCAGGTACAACCTTAACTTCTTCCTGTTCCTAATGCACACCATTAGCTTGTAGCATCTGAGAGAAAAATGGCTTTGTCTGTACAGGAAGTTGAGGCACAATGGACACCAGTCCTAATTAGGCAAGAGGCTTCTCAGAATATACACTGAGATGTGATTTATGAGGTACCAACCCCACCCCACTATCAATGAGTCAGTTCTGTCAATTCCACTACAGAGTGACCCTACATGCCAGAGTAGAACTGCCCCATAGGATTTCCAAGGCTGTGATTTTTTATGGAAGCAGATTGCTACCTCCTTCTGCTGAGTAATGGTGGAAATGAACCACCCACCTTCAGGTTAGGAGAGGAGCACTATAATCATTGCACGACCAGGGCTCCTCTTATAAGTCACAGTTCTATCAAAACTGGTCCTCGTGTCAGTTTCCCATGTCTTTTGGTGACAAGCTGTTGACTAGGTTAGGAAGGGGAGCCATGAAGATTCAATCTCAGTCAGGCCTTTTTAGCAGAAAACCCCATAAATAAGAAGGCAAAGAGCTCCCCAAAAGCATTATTTTCATGGGTCTCTTCAGATATCTTTGTAGCTTATTCTTTTTATGAAAAAAGATGTGCTGACAGTATATTGTTAATTTTGGCAGCAAAACCCTTAATATTACCAACCCTTGACAGTGTCCATTATACAGAATGTCACCCTCCCATTCCTGCTGTCCTGCCTATTTAGAATTTTGCTTTCTTAGGCATCTGTACAAGGAGCAGAAAAAAAAAATGTGTTTTGAACTCTAGAAATAAAATATGGTTAGTCTCAATGATATGTAGAAATAAACATTTCATTCCATTATGTTGCTTTTTAATACAAATAAAATCATATGTATTATGTAGAATAAATATCCTCAAAGACTGAGTTATTTTTTCCTCAACTATGTTATCCCCAGAATACAGACCCAGTTTTCTCTCTTCAAAATACAAAGCTATATATTAAACTCCAAAATTCACTACCATGTCTGTTGCTATAAAATCTTAGGCTCCTCTAATGAGAACGTGTTACAGAATCTATCATTTTTTGTAAATTACAAACAACTCCCTTAACCAGCTTATAAAATTATATTAATGCTTTAAATGTTCCCAAACAAGTGCCTCTGGATTTGTGGGGTTAGAGAACAGTAAAGACAGAATTTTTAAAATTTACCATTGGAAGGAAGCACGTGGATTTACAGAAGAGGACAGATACTGGTAGGTGCCATCAAGTCAACTATAACTCATAAGACTCTATGAACAACTGATCCAAATCCTGCCCTATCCTGTGCTATCTCCATTATTTCTGATATACAGGAGCCAACTGCTACAGTCACTGTGTCAATCCATCTCATCTGGGATCTTTCTCTTCTGCACTGAATCTCACCCTTTCAAGCATGATATTCTTCCCCAAGGATTGGCCCCAAGTATGTGAGATAGAGCTTCAAAATCCTTGCCTCCATGGAGCAACCTGGTTTCATTCTCTTGAGGACATTTTTGTTCTCTTATTAGTTCACGGTATATTCAGTACTCTTCTCTAGCACCACAACTCAAAGGGTCAGTTTTTCTTGTCATCCTGAGTCGCTGTCCATCTCCCAGATGCATAACAAGCAATTGAGAAGACCATGGCCTGGATCAGGCACACCTTAGTCTCTAGACTGACATCATTGCTATTTAGCACTAAATGAGATCCTTGACAGCAGATTTTCCCAATGGAAAGTGTGTCAGAGAGAGTTGAGGTTGGCTCAGGATAGGTCAGGGTCCAGTACTACTGTTCACAAGGTCATAGTTGACTTGACAGCTTGTAATAACAACAAAAACAACAATATATCACAAGATGATGATAGATATGTGGTGCATATACCCAGTCTTTGAAAAATCTAGACTTTGATGTAATTTTCTACTATATCCCCTTTATAAAGAATAAAAGCCTGGCACATACTTACCAGATTCAGCCAAATATTTACCAGCCCAAAAAGATCACAAGGAAGTAGATTCATTTTAAGGCTTAATATTTATGTTCACCCTACATCATTTGAGATTTGTCAGGACCAGAAGTTGATTCTTGCCTTTATGACTTTATGGCTTTTGACTCCCACATAGGGGTAGAAAACACAGCCTTTGGGACGAGTTGTCCTGTGCACACTGGAGATGTTCAATAAGCACACTTCTTCCTCAGTAGTAATAGTAGTGGTATTCTATTCTGAAATACAATGCTGTGATGCATA